GCAGGCCGCAGGATCTTGAATTTCCGGAACATGAAGGCCACGGAGCTATGGAAGTTGGTCCTTGGGGGGGCCTCTGTGGTCCCTGGCACCCCGGGGAGCCCTGGTGCCTCCGTGGCCACCTTCTTCAGGCCGGGCACGTCCGAGGCTGCGCTCCCCAAGCCTGGCGTGCCCGAGGCGGTGCTGTCCACGGCTGCAGCGGGCCTGGCAGGCCCTGCGGGGCTGGGGGCCTTGAGAGGTGGCGCTTCTGCCACGGGCTTCTTCACGCTCAAATCCAGTGCCACCTCCTCCCTAAGCGAGCAGTGTGTCCTTGAGGGGGCCTCCGGCGCAGGCAGGGTCCCCCCACAGTCCTTGTCACGGCTCGCGGTGGGAGCATGGTCAGGCTCTGCGGTGGCCGCAGGCACCTGCACGTCCAGGTAGTCGCGGTACGGGGCCAGGCTGAAGACATTGTCGATGACAGGCATAGGAGGAGAGCTGGGGGGCAGCGAGCCCTCGTTATGTGGAAGAGGCTGGTGCTCCTGGGCACAGGGGGGGAGTGCCGGCGGGGTGCAAGGAACCGGACTGTCTCGGATGATGATGGGCGCCCCGGGGTGCTCACTGAGCTGGGGCTGGAGGCGCTCCTTCCTGCATTCGGGCAGCCACAGCTTCCCCTCAGCCCCTTGCACAGGCAGCTCGGCAGAGCTCACAGGCTCCGAGCAAGGCCGGTTGGCAGGCAGAGGCGGGCACGGCTGCTGGAAGGCACTGGGCTGTGGCACAGCCTGCACGCTGTTCTGGGACGGTGGTGTCCCCCTGAGCCCGGGAGAAGCTCCATAGAGAGAGAGGTCATCCCGGGCGTAAGGAAAGCCCAGCGTCTGGGGGACAAAATCCAGTGGGCAGCGTGGGGCAAGGGGTGGCTCCAGCTTGAGGCCTGGTGAGGGTGCTGGGAGGGGACCAGACGGGTAGGAGTAAGTGTCCAGCCCCACTGGGGACATGTAAGGTGTCTGGGCCCCCTGCTGCCTCAGGTAAGGGCTGCCCAGTCCGCCAGCTGTGTACCCGGGCCCCTTGTGGGCTCCCAGAGGCGGCACTGGGAGCACTGAGCTGTAGCTCCCCTGCTTCTCCGGGTGGCGACAGGCTGGAGGGCAAGGCAGGGCCTGCGTGGGATGGGGCAATGGGTAGTGGGTGGGCACTGCATCCTGGCAGCCCGGCCCCAAGGGCTGGGCAAACTGGGTCCAAGGGCTGGGAGGTACATCAGACAGTGCCTGCTTGGGGTCCCCAGAGTAAGGGCCTGTGTACTTGGAGGTCAAGAAGCTGGTGCTGTGGATGGTCCGATACTTCTCCAGAAATGCTTGGCAGGGGGAGAAGCTCATCGAAGACTCTTTGCCAGACCCCCTAGCTGGCACCCCACGGAGAAAGGTACCATCCAAGGGCTGGCTTTTGCTAGGAGCTGAGGTCAGAGAACAAGGTGGATCTGCAGGGGGTAACAGGGGTCCAGTCACCAGTGTCCAGTCAACATCCAGCGGCCTCTTCGCTGCCCCCTCTCCCAGGCAGGTCGAGAGCCCGTAGCACAGAGGGTTGCGGTAGACGGGTTTGGGGGCCGCCAGTGGCGGGCCCGGGTAGGGGTGAGTCTGGGGACTGAAGGGTAGGAGCTCAACAGGGCCGGGATCCTGCACCTTCTCCGAGCTTTCTACTGGCGAGCGGTAGAGCAGGCAGCTTGTCAGTAAGTTGTCGGCCCGAAGTGGGGGTCCTGCCACACTGGTGGGGTACAAGGGTGGGTATGGGGTCCAGGATGCCAATCTCTCAGACCCTGCCTTAGGAGCACCCCCCAGTGGACAGGAGAAGTAGGCTCCCTTGTAGCTGCAGGCGTCCTGGTTTCCAGCAGAGGGGGGCAGGCTGTGGCCTGGTCTGGAGTCTGCCTCGAGGCGTGGCAGCTTGCCATACATCACAGGCCCCAGGGCGCCCAGTGGCCGCTTCTCCGCCATCACTATGAAGGCTTGAAGGCCTCGGGGGCCTGTTACTCAACAGCTGACCTGGGAAACAGACAGAGGCAGGGGTTGTGAGAAGGGTGACAGGCCGGCTAACGCTGCTGGCTCACTGCCACTCAAGAACCTGGCGCTTAGTACATGCTCAGTAAAGACTGCAGGAGCGAAAGGACGTGAGCCGCGTGACGCAGAGATTTTCCGACTGTTTTTTTTAAGCCGTAGGAACCCTTGGTTAATGAATTCGTGTACAGTGGACTGGCACCCCTGCACCCCCCACCAGGTTCCTAGGCTCGACCTTCCCCCCGTGACCCCCGATGCCCCATCCTGAGACTGCAGGGCGGTCAGCTGGACTAGTTTACACCCGCCCTCCCCCAATAAACAGATGTGGCACGCTACCTATCCTCCCTCTGTAAGTTATTATTCCAAGATGCTCCAGAGAGCTCAGGATGCCCGTTGCAGCCAAGAGGTGGAATCGGGCACTGTCCACAAATTCAGATTCCCTGGGACACTCTCCAAGTCTCACTCTCTGACTGGCTAGTCTCGTCAGAAATGGTGAACCAGGCCCTCCCTGGTGGCGCAGCGGGTTAAAGCACAGCACAAAGAAGCTTAAGCCACTTCTGCATGAGTTCGATTCCCGCCTGCCCCGGAGGTGCCACATGGTGTGGCAGACCTCTCCTGACCCGCCCGCTGCTCCCCTCAGCAGTGTACTTCGTCTATCTGCCATTTCTGTTCCCTGCTCTGTCTCTGGTGAAGCCTCTCACCGCCCCTGAGCCTCTGGCCTGTACCCCAGTTCTGTATGCACAAATAAATCTTAAAAAAAAAAAAAAAAAAACTCTAAAAAAAAAAAAAAAAAGGTGAACCAGGCTTGGAAACCAGGTTCCCAGGCCCAGAGCAAGAGATTAGCTCCAGAGGGCAAGCCCCAATGGGGGTTGCACTTAGCTCTGGACTGGCCTCTGGGGGCACAGCCTAGCCCCGCCCCCAGCATGGGAACGAGGGCTGTCCAGCAGATGGTGCTGTGGGCTAGGGGGAAAGCCCCAACCGTCACAGGAGGGCCCCACATCGACAGGCCTACAGGCGGCCATTCCACAGCACAAGAGGGCAGCAGAACACCAGTGAATGTCTGAACAGGGGCCCGGGAGTCATGCCGCCAGCCGCTGACAGACAGCACATTGCATTGATGGAAGGCTGCTTGTCGGGGGACAAGCGTGGAGCTCCCCAAGGCAGCGGGCACCCACTGGCCCTTTAAGGGTCATCACTGACTTGCCTCTACCTCCCAGAGGTCTGTTCCCCAAACCCTCAGGTGATTTAGAAAGGATAAATAGCCAATCTCGCTAAGATTAGGCTACAGCCAGGTGTCACAGGTTTCCTTCCCTCCTCCCTGTGGCCGGGGGCCACGATAGCCACTCGGAGTCAGACCAGCACATCCCAGGGACAGGAAAGCCCACGGGAGTCTGAGGGGCGAAGCCCACTCCCACCCCAGCCTAACGGCTCCCGGCCAGCCTAGTTCGAGTGGGGGACCTCGAGAAGACAAGAAGGGGCAGCACAGGCCAACAGTACCCAAACAGTGCCCTCTCACAGGCACTTGCACCCCAGGAGGAAAGGAAAGCCCCCTCCCAGCTCCACAGCAGTTCTGTAGGAGGATGTGGGGTCCCACCACCTCTGCCCCCAGGAAGGGCTGGGTTAATTAACTGCAGGCTTTGGTGGCCCCTCCCCCACCTATTCCTTGGGGCCTTCACTATATCCACCCCTGGCCCCAGGAGTCCTTCTCTCCAGGGCTCTGCCCATAGTGTGCTCTTTGCCCTGGAGAATTCCCGGAGACACCCCCTCCTCCAGGGACCCCGACAACAGAGGTAAGGCCACCTGGGATGCTCAGGCATCTTTAGGGGCGAGACAAGGCTCCAGAGAGGCGGCAGAGGCTTATGAAAGGGATGGGGGTGACCTTACCCCCCTGCCAGTAGGAAGGGAGAGCCTTAAGTGAGGCCCATCCCCACTCAAAACAGTAGCCAAAATGTAGGTGCATCTTCCCTCGCGCACAAACTGAGGACGCAGTCAAAGGCTTGGAGAAAGGCAGGACCCCAGGGAGCAGGGTCACACACGCCTTGGGCCGGGAGTGTTGGCTGCTGAAACAGGGTGCTTTAAGCAGCAGAAGCAAGCAGCTGGGCGCCCAATTCCTCCTCCATTTCCTAGGCGTCTGGGGATGAAGCTGCTGCCCAGCTCAGGCCTCCCTGGGGGGCTGAAGCGGACCCCCTCCCTGTGTTCTCTCAACACAGACCGCCAAGACTGAGGGCCTTCCAGAAGCAACTACCCAACTTGGGGTAGTCTCCGTTGCAGGAGGAAGGCTCGCAGGACCCCCCCTCCACCCTCAATTCTCTACCCACCCCACCCGCCGGTCACTGTGGTGCCTAGGGCCCTGGGCATCGAGCTAGAGCGCTGCCGCTGCACTGCACCCGACCCCGCGGGCTTCCGGGTGTCCCCTGCCCTGTCCAGCGGGCGCTGGAGCGCACGTGCACCCCGGCAGGCTGCTACACAGGCCGCCGCCACGCATGCAAAACTCTGCCTGCAAGGACGTGCTGGCCCCGGCTGCACACACGCCCTCCAGGCTGCCTTCTCCCCTGGCTCGGGCCCCGGCACGCGTGTGCACGCCCGCACACCGTGCCCACCGACGGGCAGCCCCAGACTGGGGCGTTTCACAGCCGGGGGCGGCCGGGTCCTCGAGTTCGGGCCGTCACCGCCTGGGGCGATCCCGCCAGCCTGGGCTGCCGCCAGAGGCTGAGTCAAGCCGCGGCGAGGAAACCGCAGGGCCGTCCCGTCCCAGCAGGGCGCGTCCGGGGCCCCGCGGCGTCTCG